AAGAATGGTTGCTGCTAAATCAAAAACCATACACACTTGTAATCCCATCACTCAAGTGGCTGAGGCATGAGGATTTCTGTAAATTCAAGGCCAGTTTGAACTACATAGTAAGATTTTTAAGAAGTGTTCCCTCAAAAATACTAAGTAGGGCTGGGGAGATGGCGTAGTGGAATAAGCGCTTCCCTGGCAAGCACAGAGGCCTGAGTTCAATCCCTGGTTAAGCAAAAAAAAAAAAATTAAAGTCACTAAATGGTCAAGAACAATAGAAAATAAAAAATTTTTTAAAAGTAATTTTTTTTATGACTTTATTTATTTATTTAGTGTGTGTGTGGCCAGTTCAGCCCACCAGGGGGCGGGGCTGGCTGGCATGTGGTGCTGGGGATTGAACCGCGGTCTCTGCTTTTGCTTAGCTTAGCTTGTTCTAAGGAGGTGCTTTAGACCACTGAGCCATCTCACCAGCCCCAGAAAATAAAAATTGATAAATTGAACTTCTTCAGAATTACCAGCTTCAGCCAGGCCCAAAGGCAAGCCCTTGGTAGTCCCAACTAACCAGACAACTGAGAAAGAAGAGTGGCTTGAATGCAAAGAAGGCAGGACTTCATCTCAAAACAATAAAAGCAATGCAAAATTTTGTTCTTCAAGACACTGTTCAGAAATTAAGGGCAAGTCACAGGCATAGAGAAAAATATCTGCAAAATGTGCACCCAACAAAGGATTTACATCTAGAATATATAAAGAACTTTTACAACTCAGTAAAGCACTATATCAAAAAAAGACATATGGATAGCAAATAAGTACATGAAAACCTGTTCAGTAATAGGGAAATGCATATTAAATAGAGTGAAACAACAGTGGTATATATACCTGTAATCCCAGCCCTCAGGAGGCTGAGGCAGAAAGATCATTGCAAGATTGAGACTAGCATGGGCTACAAAGTGAGATCAAGGCCAGTCTGAACTGCACAGCAAAACCCTGTCTCAGGAAAAAAAAAAAAGTAAGATACTACTATAGTGGTAGAATACCACTGCTAGAACAACCAAAGTGAAAAGAAATGACACAAGTGTTAATGAAGATGTGGAACAACTGAAACATTCATGAGTGGCTGATGGAGAACAAAATTGGTGCCAGTGCTTAGAAAAACATGTAGGAGGGCTGGGGCTCTTCCCTGTAACATACAAAGCAATGGATACATCTTGGGGTTTCATCTCTGGGGCCACAAAAAAGGGGAAACTGGCATTATATTAAAAAGTCAGATATTCATGTGCCATACATTCCAGCCACTCCTATTTACCCAAGAGAAATTAAAGCGTATTTCTATACAAGGTCTTAATTATGAATGTTCATAGCTTCTTTATTTGTAAATGGTTAAAAACTAAAAAATTCCACCAGCATTTGTTTTTTGTTTGCTTTGTTTTTGAGGCAGGGTTTTGCTATGTAGCCAGGTTCCTTGAACTCACTGTAGCCAGGGTAACCTCGAACTCACAGCACTCCTCCTGCCTTAGCCTCCCAAGTGCTGAGGCTTCAGGCATATGCTACCATGCTTGGTTCCACCAGCATCTGGACAAATAAACAAATTGTGCTACATCCAAACAATGCAGTGTTACTCAGCAATAAAATGGAATGAAAATTGGAACAACATGGATGAATCTTAAAACAGCAAGTGAAAGAAGCCATACAATAAAAGTCTTTAAATGGTATAGTTGCCTTTTAAAAATAATACAAACTCAGCTTAGAGGTGATAACCATCTTGATTATGAGGTAGTTTCATGTGTATGTACAGACTTATTCATCAGATGTATATTTTAAATATTCAGTATGCAGTTTACCTCATGGATGCTATAAAAAACAAATTGGCTATGGTTTTTGGTTTTTTATGTTTTGGGTTTTTTTATCCAGGAATTGAACTCTGGGTCTGTGCTTGGCAGGCAGGCACTGTGTTGCTGAGCTATGTCCCCAACCCCTACTATTACTATTTTGACTAACTCACCATGCTTCAGTTTCTCCAACAATGAAGTAAAAAAGAATACCTGCCTCCAAGATTTGGTCAGGGGAAGATATATGTTTGAATACCTCATCCAAATAGTATTTCATATTCTATCCTTATAAGGCCATATTTTTCTGCAAACCATTTGTTATGGTTTGTGTCTAGTTGTCCCCCCAAAGCCTCATGCAGTCATGGGGTGAGGACTTCTAGAATTTGTGTTAACTCATGATCCACTGGGATTATGTGTGATCCAAGGCTGGGATTATGGGTCTTAATACTGCTGGGATTATCCATAGGTGGGTAAATACTGGGAAGTACCCATAGGTGTGAGTACTTCCCCTACCCTGGGGCAGGTAATTTGCATTACAATATAGGGTGGGAAGAGAAGCCAGCTGCTTGAGCTGCTGCTACCCCTCCCTTGCTCTCTTGCTCTTTGCCGCCGCCATGCTATGTGCTGCTCTGCGTTGGACCCAGTTGAGTATGGACTGAAACCTCCAGTAACTGTGAGCTAAATAAACCTTTCCTTCCTTCATTGTGAGTGTCGGGTATTTGTCCTAGCAACGAGAGAAGAGTAACTAAGACACCATTTATAACCAGTTATGTATCTATTTACTTGCTTACCTCCCCCAGCTATAAGTTCACTGATTGAGAGACATGGTCTTACTGTTACTGTCTTACAGCCTTAGAACAGTGCATGGTACATAGTAAACACTTAATACGTATTATTACGTGACTTAATCAACCATTCCCCTATCTCTTCTATTGCATGGACCAGTTCTTGGGTGCTTATGGATTAACTTCCAGGAATACTTAGTGAAGTTTTTGTGACTCATTCTTTTTCAGTACCTTTAAATAGCTAAAAATATTTGGCAGATACACAGACTTGGGAGGTTGAGGAGGAGTATCACTTGAGCCAGGAGTGCAAGGCCAGACTGGGCCAATATAGGAAGACCCTGTTTCTGTAAAGTGTGTGTGTGTGTGTGTGTGTGTGTGTGTGTGTGTAGACACATGTACATTACAGAATTTAATGGATTTTTCTTTTAATGCTAGTAGAAACCTTTCCTTCTTGTAAAAGTGATGGCTTCGAATTCAGATCATGATTAAAGCTTGGAAAGTTTTCATCTTGCCTCTCTTTTTTCCACACAGGGTTTATCCATGGCTCAGAGGACTAGGTTATACATCCTTGGGTATATTTTTATTGGGATTTTTATTATGGAACATAGATAACATCTTTTGTGATTCTCTGAGGTAAGATATATTTTTATTTCTTGAGAAATATTCTTGTTCAATCCCTGGTTCTGCCAAAAAATAAAGAAAAAAAGGAGAAATATTCTTGGAAGCATTTATTACATAGAATTTCATAAACAGAAATATCAATGCCCTTGTATTGGTCAGGGTTTTACTTAGAGGAACAGATATAATATAAGGAACAGATATTAACACAAGATATACAATGTATAAGGAATTATAAGCCCCCACCAGCTAGAAGTGTGCGGGGGAGTCACCCACCCCAAATTGACACAGTGTATCGACCACTACAGCCCTAAAATGAATTTTTTGTAGTGCTGACATTTAAAAGGTATATATGAGATCCTGAGATGTGGTAAGCAGGCCTGGAATCTGTAAGTGCGCTTTCACCCAGCGTAGAGAGGGGCCCTATTAATATTTTTAAAATGACCATGCCAAACAAGACACCTCATGGTGCTGACCCTAAGCAGGAACTGGAACAGTAAGGGAAATTGGGTCACAAGCTGTTTGGTCACTCTCATCTTGCAAACCAGGATTTGGAGTGGATCAGTTACAAGATGACAATCTAGAAACTTACTGGCCATCAGATGGCTCCCACCCTCATTTAGTGAATATTCAGTTCAGAAGAAAAACAACAGTGAAGACATTGTGTATTTATGCCAACTACAAGTCTGATGAAAGCTACACAGCAAGCAAGATCTCAGTCAGAGTAGGAAACAGTTTTCATAATCTTCAAGAAATTCAGGCCGGGGAGATGGCTCAGTAGAGTAAGTGCCTCCCTGGCAAACGCAAGGGCCTGAGTTCAGTCTCTGGTTCCACCAAAAAAAAAAAAAAAGAAGAAGAAGAAAAAGAAAAAGAAATTCAGCAACTCAAATTGGTGGAACCAAGTGGCTGGATTCATGTTCCCTTAACTGATAATCATAAGCCAACTTGCACATTCATGATACAGATTGCTGTTCTAGCCAGTCACCAAAATGGAAGAGACACCCACATGAGACAGATTAAAATATACACACCAGTGGACAAGAGCTCTATTGGTAAATTTCTTAGGTGTACAACTATTGATTTTATGATGTATCATTCAATAAGGTGATTTAAGATGGAGTAAAAATGATTAAGCATGTTGTTTTAACATACATATTGATATAACCCCATGTATATCTCTTTATCAAAAAAGTTATTTTGCACTTTTATATATGTTTAAAAGCACTTTACTTAGATAAATAAGTCAGTTTTGGTTTAAAAAATGGTATGTATAACACAATAAAGTTAAATTCTAAAGTAACCTATTTTAATTACCTAAAAGTTTGAACCTGATAGTATTTTATTACCTCTAAAGGCTTTGGTCTTTTTTGTGTATGCATCATGAAATTGTACACGTCTCATTTTGACGGCTTCTTTCATACATGTTTAATCTGCTTTATAGAGTAAATAAAGGGGGGCTTGTGGGTTAGCTCAGTTGTTTAAAGCACCTGCTTGGGCAAACTCAGTCAGGCACAGGGGACTGTGGTTCGATCTACAGCTCTATATGCTGCACCAGATCCACCCTTAAGGCAGCCTGAGCCAGCCAAAAAAAAAAAGAATCCTTGAGTGAATAAAAATGATTTGTAAAAATAATGATTTGTTGGGCTGGGGATATATATAGCTCAGTAGAATAAGCGCTTACCTGGCAAGCACAAAGGCCTGAATTCAGTCAATCCCCAATTCTGCCCAAAAAATAAATAAATAAATAAATAAATAAATAAATAAATAATGACTTGTAACAAGCATATAAAATACATGTATATAAATTTTCATTTTGGCATGGTTAATGTTCTTTTCTAAGAAAGATTAGTATTCCTTTTACTGTCTTGTCAACAATTTTATATTGAAAAGTTTTAATCTTAAACTTAGGGCCCTGAATTTTTGTCAATAACATACTATCTTTCTGGCCTCAACTTTCCTAAAAATGAGTATATGAAGTAGATTAAATTAAGGGTCATTCCAACTCAAGGGCCTGTGACCTACAAATTCTGCATGAATGTGGAGGACAGAGGGATGTACTGAACAGCGCCACAAGATGGTGCTGAATCAGCAAAATTCAGACTGGGGCAGTCTATATCAGTGACCCAGTCAGGGGCAGAGTGGAGAATGAAACAGGACACATGGATAAGAACATAAGAGAATATTAACTAAACGCAATGCGTTAGCCTTTTTTGAATCCTGATTCAAATAAGCTAACTATAAATAAAAATAAAAATGGCAATATAGTGGACCTGGCCCTAGCTCAGTTCTTTAAGTGACTGCTTCCACAAAGCTGTCACCCTCCGGTTGCACTAGTTCGATTCCCACAATACTCCAACCAGCCAAAAGTGCCCTCAAGGCATTCGAGGAGCAAGAAAAAAAAAAAAAAAAAACCCTTATTCCTTGGGGGCTGGTGAGATGGCTCAGTGGTCTAAAGCACTTACTTAGAACAAGCTTGGCAAAGCACAGGGACCGCGGTTCAATCCCCCAGCACCACATGCCAGCCAGCCCCGCCCCCTGGTGGGCTGAGCTAGCCACACACACACACACACACACACACACATAAATAAATAAATAAAATTTTTTTAAAAAATGGCAATATAGTAAATACTGATATTAAGGGATTATTATTTAGCTTATGTGTGAAATGGTATTGTAGTTATATGTTCATATTTTAAAGAAGAGCTCTTTATAGAGAAGTTGTTATTTTTTAGAGATACATGCTGAAATATTTAGAGACAAAATGATACACTATCTGGAACTTAAAGTAGTATGGGAGGGGGAAGTAGATAAAGGTTTAGATGACACAGAGTTCACCGTAAATTGATAATAATTGACATTGGGTAATAGTTTATGATTTTTGTCTGCTTTTACACATATGTGAAATTCTCCATAGTAACACATTAAGTAAACATAGTTTTTTTTAGAACCGGGATTGAACTCAGGCCCTTGTGATTGCCAGGGGAGTACTTATTCCACTGAGCCATCTCCACGGCCCAAGACTTTTAAGGGTAGACAAATAATGCACCTTACTTAGAAAACTAAGATCCGGAGCTAGTGAGATAGCTCAGCAGTCTAAAGAGCCTGCTTAGACAAGCTTAGGCAAATGCCCAGGGACTGCGGTTCAATCCCTGGCACCATGTGCCACACCACCCCCACCCCCAGGGTGGGCTGAGCCGGCCACAAAAAAGTAAAAGAAAACTAAGATCTAAGTGTGTGGTGCTAAATCAGGAATAACCAGTAAAACCCATAATAGAGCTTTAATACTGCTGAGTAGATTATCATGCCCTGGGTGAGAACCACTAGCGTACAGTTCAGGCTTTTAGAGATGTAAGTGTCCCAAAAATTTGTGAGGGTATCTAGAAAAATAATTTGACATATCACATTGGTTTTTTGTTTGTTTGTTTGTTTGTTTTTGTGGTGCCGGGGCTTTAACTCAGGACCCTGTGCTTGCCAGGCAAGCACTTATTCTACTGAGCTATCTCCCAAGCCCCCTCACATTGGTTTTTGTCCTCTAAGAAATGTTAAGGTAATACAAACACTTAATCCGAATCTTTCTCTGAGACCTAGCTGTGCCACTAACTAGCTTGTTTAGCTCAATTAACTCTGAATTTTAAATTTCTAATCTGTTAAGCAAAGCTAATAATAGCGTTCTCAAAGAATTATTGACTATGAGATGAAATAATAGATATTAAAGATTTTTATTTATTTTTAAGATAGGGTCTCACAGGTGGCCTTAAACTCACTATGTAGCTCAGGCTGGCCTGAACTTGAAGCGATCCTCATGCTTCAACCTCACCACACCAAACAGATACCAAAGGATTTTATAGACTATATGGTCCTATACTAAGGTGATACAAAAAGCATGTATCGTTTCTCAAGTGGATAGCTAACTAGATATGTATATCCTGAAGTGGATTTTAGAAAATACCTGTTTCATAAAGTGATAATAAGTATTACCAAAAACATAAATTTCATGGATTAGTAATTTACCTGAAAAAAATGAAGATAAACTTCATGGCAGGACTTTTCAAAGCCTATTACTGCACATTAAAAATCTTTTTAAAGGGAAAGTTAACTTTATAATGTTTCCTACATTAATTTGAAGTTATTTGTAGTGAAAGTTCCTACTAAAAATTATATTTCTCACAATATACTGTGAAAAACAACACAGCAGCGCTGGGGAGATGGCTCAGTGGAATAAACACTTCCCTGGCAAGCGCCAGGGCCTGAGTTCAATCCCCGGATAAAAAAAAAAAAAAAAAAAAAAACAGATGGAAGGAAATTAAATAATTGACATATTTAAGAATGGTATTTCACGGGCTGGGGAGACGGTTCTGTGAATAGCGCTTCCCTGGCAAGCGCAAGGGCCTGAGTTCAATCACTATCACTGGAAAAAAAAAAAAAAAAAGAATGGTATTTCAAAATACTCTAACATTGTCAGCATTTAACATGGTTATTCCCCCCGTAGGAACTTTCGAAAGAAGATGCCACCTATCCTAGGTGTTACCACACAGTTTCATGCATGGTGGCATATTTTAACTGGCCTTGGTTCTTATCTTCACATCCTTTTCAGGTATGAAATATTTAAATCTGCTACTGGAGGTGTTTGACTTTTTTCTCCTGTGAATAGGATGGTTTAAGTATACAATGTTAGAGACAGAATCAGGAATTTATGTTCCAGTTTTGCCTCTGACACTGGATGATATTAAGAAGTCCCTTTTGTTTGGATTTAATTTTTATTTATTTATTTTTATTTTGTATTCTTATATTTGCAGTGCATAATGATTATGTTCATTGTAGGGAGTTGGCAATGCATATAACACATCTTAATTCTCTTTTATTTCCCCTTCCCTTTCCTTTTTCATATGCCCCAATCTCTTGCTCCCCTTGCCATTTGCAAAATATTTCCTAGTATCTGTCTTTTATTTTGCTTTTTAAATTATTTATACTTTGGATTTCTCATAAAAAGAAACCATGTCAGGGGCCGGGGAGATGGCTCAGTAGGATAAGTGCTTGACTGGCAAACACAAGGATCTGAGTTCAATCCCCGGTTCCGCCAAAAAAAAAAAAAAAAAAAAACCATGTAATATTTAAGATTTTTTTTCTAGTACCAGGGTTCGAATTCAGGACCTTGTGCTTGCCAAGCAGGCATTTATGCCCCTGAGCTCTATCCCAGCCCAGTGTTTAAATTTCTGTGTCTCGTTTATTTCACTTAGCATTATTGTCTCAAGATGCACTTATTTTCCTACAAATGACTCAGGTGTATCCTTTTATGGCAGAGTAGTATACCATCATGCTCAGTTTTCTCATCCTCACGTAAGATATGAGCCAGTAGTGTGATATGAATCGTACCAAACATTAATGGGATGGCCACTACTAAATTATAAACTTCCTAAGGTCATTGCCCTGCCTTCCTTAGCATCTTCCCAAGTGTTTTGCAGAGAAGAAACTCCAAAAAATAGTTACTAAATGAGTAAAAGACAAACCAGTGTCAAAGGCATTGTGGTTAAATGTGTCAGTTTGCAGGAATTAAAACAGCCTAAAGAACGTTCCCTTTCCCCTTCTCTTTCAGCTTATATACAAGAACATTGTACCTGAGATACAGGCCAAAAGTGAAAGTAAGTCCATTTCCTAGGGGAGTCTGTGGAGCAGTGGGGTGTGTATTAGCAGGGAAAGGTGTTGGAAGGATGGGATGGATGTATAAGAAAGGGGTTATGAAGTAAACGCAGGCTTTGGACAAGGAGACGCGAATCTTATGTCTTCCATTTATGACTGTGATGTCAGACAAGTCTCTTCTTTAAGTCTGAGTTCCTTAAATAATAAAATAGAGTTGGTAATGCTACATTGTATAGTTGTTTTTTTGGTTTTTTTGTATAGTTGTTTAAAAATGAGAGATTAAATGTCCATTTCCATGCTTGACACATTTATAGACATGGACACCAAAATGAAAATGGTGTCCAAGATCTGGTGCAAGTCTAGAAGGAATTTGCTGTGGCCAGGCGTCATAACACCAGGAAAGTTACTGGCAAACTAATCATGAACTCTGGTCACAGCGATTCCTTCAGGGATAAGAACATAGAGCAGTTTTCTCTCATTTTGTCCTAACTTGTTTTTCACAGTTTTTCTTTGGAATCTGGCCAGTGATCATGTTTGAGCCTCTGAGAAAGCACTGATAATTATTCCATGAAGACAACAAAAAATACCTACATATGCCTAGCAGGATAATAAGAAATCTCTGAAGATCTACATATTCAAATACACCGTGACCATTGCAACAGAGGAGTGACTTTCCAACTAGTACGGCCAGCCACACAGAGAATAAGGAATTGATCCTGGTTGGTGTTTTGCTCCTGGCTTTATCTTATTTGTCCTCATTCTCATCCTATGGTCTTCATAAAGAAACAGATGTGTATTTCTGTTCTAGAGCACTAAGGAAACTGGGCTCTTCTTAGAAGGTTAACAATTTGTGCAGGTCATAAGAAATTAACTTTTTCTCTTTTGTGTTAAGGTTTGCATGTAAATTATATTTTTTCTAATATTTTATTAAATAAGGAAAAGAGGACTGGCAAAGCCCAATGTCCATATGGTCCCCTGTCAGCCAGCATTTAGCTGTGTCAGCCTTGATTTATATTGTTGTCATGTTAACCTCATGGATGTTTTCCCAAGATTTAAAAAAAAAAAAACATTTAAATAGTTCTTGCACTGCCTGACTCAATGCTAGACAGAGATCATAAACAAGCTCAGACCTACCACTGGGTTCTAGACTGGTCATTTCCCAGAATCTGCTATGGGCTCTGGGGTATGAGACAAAATGAAGCAAATAAGAACAATGGATCTAGTGTGCTTCAAGAAGCTCTACCAGGACAACTAGAAAATGCTACATCTTCAGCCAGTTAAAGGCAGTTGCTCTGTCTCCTTTGGCACTGTTTTTAAAGTTAAGCAAACATAATTGGTGGCCTAGCCTATTCATATTCTGTCCTTCTAGCCTAACTTATCAGGAAATATCATAAAACTAAGATTTTTTTTACATTATGCAGTATTTTCCAGTTTTCAGAAAGGCTGTGCTTATGCCCAAAGAAGTATGTCAAATTAACTGAAGTAAAATGGTGAGGATCCTAGTTACATACAACTTATTAAAATATCTGCTCATCATTTTTAATTTTTTATGTTTTTATTTTCTTGTGTTGGGAGTCAAACCGAGGGCTTTGCACATGTAACTCTTCTATCGAGCTATACCTCCAGCTCCAGCTTCTTCGATTGTTAAGGGAAATAAATACAAGCATTGAGAACAGCTCTAACTTTTAACTTGCAAAACAGCCAAAAAGTAGAGTGCTAAGAAATAGCAGTAAAATCTTATTGTAAGGCAGCTAGTTCTAATTTGAGTGTATAACAATGTCAATTATTTTTCAAAAAAAAAAAAAGAGAGAAAGAAAAGGATGGGGCTGGTGAGATGGCTCAGTGGTCTAAAGCACCTACTTAGAACAAGCTTAGCTAAGCACAGGGACCGTGGTTCAATCCCCCAGCACCACATGCCAGCCAGCCCCGCCCCCTGGTGGGCTGAGCTGGCCACACACACACACACACACACACACAAATTTAAAAAAAAAAAGAATAACTTGAAAGAAAAGGAGCTGATATAATAACTCCCTGTTCCACAAAGTTTGTAAAGTGAATTATTTCATAAGTCCAAAAAAGTAAGTCACACATATACGGTGCAAAACATAAAAAAAAACCAAACACACACAAAAATACAGCAAGTCTTCAACTATTCTCTACTACTATACACTGTCATACTGTACAGTAAGCACCCAGCAGCACAACTGTGAAAATGCCCAATAGAAACCTGAGCTACTTCTGTAATTTGTTTTCTGGGTGTGGTGGTGCACACCTGTAATCCCAGCTACTTGGAACGCTGAGGCAAGAGGTTTCTGAGTTCAAAGGCAACCTGGGTATTTAGTAAGACACTCAAAAAATTAAAAGGGGGGCCAAGGAGATAGCTCAGTAGAATAAGCACTTGCCTGGCAAACACAGGATCCTGAGTTCCATACCCGGTCCAACCAAAAAAAAAGGAAATCTGGGGTGGGTCATAGTGCTTGCCTATTGAGTGTTTGCCTAGCATGCACAAGGTCCTGGTTTGATCTAGGACCAAAACCAGTGAACAAAACCAAATCTATTTTGGTGCAAGATATTGACTTCCAACTATGTTCACTTGTAATACTTTGGTTGTTACTTTTTAATGAATTCATTTGTTCTATACCATTGTATTTTTATACTGTTCAAGTGTTCTGTATAAAGATCCATAAATAGGAACATAGCTACTTCCTTCATGACAGTATGGGTTTATAAGACAGAATTTCTGCAGTGTTAATCAGGCCAAGAATATGCAATGCACCCTGAGACTGACACCATTTAGAGCAGTGTATTGAATGTACAATCGAAATATCACCCCTTATGATCAGTTGTTGAATAAAATAGTTATGCACTTCGCTTATGGAAGTGTTTGCATCCCTGAATGATATGTAAAACTACAGCTAATTTCTTAAAGATCTTTATTTCTGTTGGGAAGACAGATAGCATTAAAGCTCAGAGTAAAACATTTTAGATATTTTAGCAGAAAGGAGAGAGAACACCAGAGTTTAATTTTCCTACTTTGTGCCTCATACAGTAGCTCTGTTATTAAAAATGAAGTGATACACTCATGACTTTGTGCTATGTTATGTGAAAGTCACTGCTGACTTCTAGGCAGCTGCTAATTCACTTTTATTTCCATGGCTTTGTTTTTCCCTTCTTGGATTATTCATAGGGATAACAAGGTTAGGTGTCTACCCACCCTTCCCTTCTGTTTGCTTAGAAAGCTTCCTGTTAACTAAAATGTACAGAAGCCTGTTTCCTACTGAGCAAATAATGGTTTGTTTGCAGCTCACCAGATGTAAAAGGTGCTCCTCTATAAACCCAGAACAAATTACATTTTGGAAAACATTAATACTTTGTGAGGATATAAAAGAGGCCATTTGCTTATATGCTTGATTATTCTGTATTCTCATTTTTCACTGTAGAAAACTAAAAAGTTTGACTTTATTTTTTTTCCTTCTTGCCAATTTTTTATTAGTGTACATAGGTTATACAAATGAATGAGGGTTTTTTTGACAGATTTATACATGCACATAACTTGACCCCCCCCCATTTCATACTTTTTTGGGTTCAGTGTATACAATGTATTTTGATTATATTCCTGCACCCCGTTATCTACCATAGCACCTCACTTTTTCCCTTTTCCTCCCTTCCTCTTGCCTAATCATGGTTTTCCTGTCATCTTTTTCATGTAACATTTGCCTTTCTAAGTTTGACTTACTTTGCTTCATATGACAGTTTCCAGATCAATTCATTTTTCTACAAATGACAAAATTGTGACCTTTTCATGGCTGAATAATGCCCTGTTGTGCACATATTACACATTGCCTGTTCATCTTTCTCCCTATTACATATAGGTCAAAATTTTGTAAACAGAGATAATATTTGAATTTAAGCTTCAATCACTTGAAATGAGACACCTCATATTTACTACTTCCTGAACATGGAAGACAGCTTTGGCTTAACATGGATGCCTAATTTATTTCTGTGTCCTTAAACCCCTCCAAAGGACAAGTAAGTTGAAATCTCCTTGTCTTTTATGAAAAGGACAAAAAGTACAATGGATGGTATTAAGTTTATCTGGATAGTCAGGGGTAGCACCCTGGAAACAAAGTCCTTGAGTGCTAACAGTGACATTAGAGAGGGTCTGTGTATTTTCTACATTTTATGTTAGTTGTATGGTTTTCTTTTTAAAGTTTCTAATACTAGGAGAATATATCGTATGATGTCTTTTAAATAAATTGTAAGTCAAAGATATAGTATAAATCTTAGAACAAAAATTAAGAATAAGCAATATTCAGAAAATTAAATACTAATTAATTAAAAATTAAATGTTTCAAAACAA